GTTTCGAGCCGCCTGCCGGGAGCTGGACCAGCCGGCGCCGGCGGCCGGGGGGCCCTGGCAGCTCCTGGTGGAGAGCATGGGCGTGAGGATCTACCGGCTGTACGACGAGGTGGGCGGGCGGGCGAGGGGGGGCTCCCCCGCGGCGGGGGGCGGCCGTGCCCCGGGCCCTCCCTGCCCGGGGCTGAGCCCGGCGAGGGGCAGCGTCCCCGAGGCGGGGAGCGGAGCGGGGCCGGGGAGCGCCGGGGGCAGAGGGGCGGCAGCACGTCGCCGTCCGGAGCCGCCATCCGGGGTCGGCAGAGGTTCCCCTCCGCTCCCCGCACAGGCCGGGCTGAGGTCCTTTGCCCGTCCAGGCGCTACCGGCCGGGGCTCGGTTTCTCCCGGCTGGCAGAAAGCTGCTTTCAGGGTAATGCTATTAACTGCTGATGGGGAAAGCTGCTCTGCCGCAGTAAGCGCCGCTCGTCCAGACTGCTGGGGAACCAGCAAACTGTGAGCTCTGAAAGCTTGTGAACAGCTGGCGGCTGGAGGGTTTCTGGTTGAAGGTGCCCTCGGAGCCAGGGGCACCAAAAGGGTCCCTGCTCCTTTCCTGAGCCCCCTCTGAGGGGGGCGTGGTGATGGAGAGGGCCCTCCCTGCACACCGGCTCCTGAGCATCCTCCTGGGATACAGCATCCTCTGACATCCTAGAGCATCTAGGTTTAAAGCCAGAGATTGATGCTTCAGTGAAGCCACAGTGAAGATGGGTAGCTTAAGCTTTTTGGTCCCATTATTATCTTCTGGTACGTCAAACCTTCATCTTCTACGGTTGATTTGTGAAAGGGCAGGGAAGAAGAAAAGTCAGCCATTCACTAACAGAATGTTGAATAATTCTTCCCTCCCTTTCCTTGGGAATGCTTGAATTTGACTCCTATACTGTATATTCAAAATACTCCCGTTGTTTTAATTTAGTACCTGAACTGGTACTAACAACAAAACAGACATTTCTTTATAGACACAGATGGAGTTTCTATATGTTGAGAGAAACAGTAAAAGCATTAACGCAGGAGATCTTGTACCCCACCATTTCAGTGCAGGCAGCTTGCAGAAAGAAAATAGCTGATAAATATTCAAGGCAGATATAATAGTGCATTGTACATAAGCATGAGCATTATAAAGCATTCTTGTATCACAGCCTGGAGTACAAGCATACCTGACCTGCTGGAAAACACATTCCACATTGTGCAGCACTTGGTAACCTCCTGGAAATGGCCGGGATTCTTAAGCACGTTATATAGGGCCTGGAGACCTTGTGCATACAATTCAATGCTTCTAGGCAGGGCTTAGTCCATATTGACCACTGGAGATTAAAAGAGACATGTGTGAAGGAACATGCTCCCTTTGGAATTACTGATGCAGTAGAAGTGGACTGGTGTAAGGGAAGGAACAACCATTGTGCTGTGCAGGTCAGCCTGTCTGGATTTAAACTCTCATGTATAGATGAAGAAGTCGAGAGGTTCAAGACTGAATCTTGCATTGTTTTTTTGAACACTTTCACAGCTCTTGGGCAAATTTGTAGTATGTGCCCCACCTAGCTTCCTTCAGCTGTTCTCCCTGCTGCAGAGTACTTCCCTTTCCTGTGTGACTTTCCTCTCCCCATTCTGTTTCCACAGCAATCAGGACTTTATGAGTATAAAATCTTTGGTGGTCTTGCTGACTGTCCTCCAAAACTGTGTGCGGATGTCTATATGGATTTAGATTTCAGAAAACAATGGGATCAATATGTTAAAGGTAAGCTCATCTAGGCAGCTAAAAAGCAAGCTTTATGTCCACATTGACTCTTCCCACTAAAACTTTCTTCAAAAGTATTTTAAAGTTGCTGCATCCAAAGACTTCCAGCCAGAGTGAGGTATCTTCTGTGATACAGTTGCACTCTGCAAATACAGGACCACTGACATGGAACAATTCACATCTCATCACCATGCAGCTTCCTTCTGGAATTAATTCTTTACATGTTGTTTAATGCATCACTAAAGTGGCATCACTTGTTATGCTGATGCACCTCACAGTTTCTAGTTGTTGTAATTCCTAGGTTAAATAAATAGATCTTCTGCGGAAAAATGGAGATGGTACATTTTGTGCATCTTTCCTATTGCAGGGGAGCAGTGCAATGGCTCGCACCAGTTTCATGTGTGGTGGAATGTCTTTTCCTGAAAGCATTGGTTGTTCTTGGCACCTTTTACAATCAGAAATGGGTGTATCAAGAGAACAATTGGTGACTTTGGGCTTTTGCAGAACAAGGAATAACTAATTTAGTTGTGTTTATTTAATGTTGCCTTTGAAAAAGAGAGTTGAATTTGGATATCCATATGATGTTAAAATGTCTTAAGTCAGCAGTGACAAGGCAAGGATTCAGCTGATGCAGGCATCAAATAATCCATTTATTTTAAAGATGGGAAGCCTTCTGTTTTAAACCTGTGCTTAAAATCAGTTCAGGCCAATAAAACTGAAACAAAGTCAAAGTGTTCTGCTGAACAGTGTTAAAAAACAAAGAATTGTTAAATGTTGTGCTTGTTAAGCCTAGGATGGGTCTGTGGTGAATGGTCTATGGGGACTGGTACTGCCTGTGGCATTATTATTCTGGAGTAGGACTCAATGTTGCCATATTGGATGTAAAAATACTGTTTTATCTTAAGTTACTTCAGTAGTCTTTGATTTTAGCACATTTAGGAGAATTGAATCCTTCTTAAACAAACACTTTTTTTGTAATGTCTTCTTAGAGAAAAGAGCAGTTGGGGGAAAGCTACACCCTTAAACTGTGAATTGTGCTGGTACATCAAGTCTAGTGTTTCACAGAAGCTAACCCTAACTTCAGAGAGGTCGTGTTTTGATCTTGTCTTGCCAAGGGTTTGCCTGAGGCCTCAGAAATGTTAGTATCCATCTGCTGCTGCTGTTGCATTGCTGTTAGTGCCCTCGCTGTTTCCAAAGCAGACTCCTGGACATCCACAAGATGTGGGTATCCTGAGGCCTGGTCCGTGCTGCAGCTGCCAATTCCGCAGGGACACTGTGACTAAACTGTAGAGTAGTGACTGAGGAACCACGTGCTTCTGTGGCATGATACAAGTAGTTGGGCCTGAGCAATATTGGAACTTGCTACTCCTGATTGCAACTCCATCCTGATTGAGATCATACTTCCCAGCAATTTAATGGTAATAATTACCGCTAAGGAAGCAAATGCAGCTGTGCCTATTATGAATAAAACAGACTTGCGATCCATTGCAGTAACACTAAGTGAATCATAGAATGTTTCGGGTTAGAAGCGACCTTAAAGATCATCAAGTTCCAACCCCCCTATCACAGGCAAGGACACCTCCCACTAGACCACGTTGCTCAAAGCCCCATCCAGCCTGATCTTGAATAATTCCAGAAGTGGGGCATCCACAACTTCTCTGGTTATTGATTAAAATGCACTTTACACTGCTTTGATCGGAAGCTGTGTGCTCGTTTTGACAGACTGAAGTGACTACAAGTGGGACGTGACCTATTGTCTGTTTTTTCTGTGTTTGCAAAGATACAAGGGTAGATGATTTAGTAGCTAACAACTGCATCGAGGTCTTTACTATCTTAATTCCTTTGAAAAGGGAAAGCTGTGCAGTTAGAAATGAAAATAAAGCTTACAAACCGATGCTCCACTGACCTCTGGTGGATAGCATAACGCTGTAGCGTATGACAACCCCAGGAATATCGTGCATCCAATACTGCTCCAGCCCGGAGGAGTGGAGAACTGGTTTTGTGGGTGACAGCTGAATTGCAGGACATACTAGCAGAAGCATAGTTTGGAACATGTTATGTAGGGCAAGAATCTCCCATCTGTGGCGCTCTTTTTGCCTTAGCAATGAGTTTATCAGTCTGTTCTAACCTTCTTTTCTAACCCACAGAAAGAGCTGTGGCAGAGTGTGCATTAGCTCTGAAGGATATCTAGCCCTTCTAGGCAGAAGTCTGCCCTAAGGGAGGAGGAAAAGACCACTCTATTAATGTGAACCATCTTTCTGGATCACACCCTCTTTGACTGCATCCATGTAATGACCAGTCCCTCAGCAGACAAAGAGTTTACCCTGGCTTAGCCCCACGGCTTGTCTCGTCCATTACCCTGATAATCCCTTTCTTCAAGGGAAGAAGCCGCACAGTAGATAAATTCTGAAACTCAATTATGTAGTTGGATTTGAACCAGTTTTTCTCCTTTCTGCAACTCTACTACCTGACCTAGTCACTGCCATGTTTTAGGGACTATTCTTAGATATTTTTTTTCCTATCCAGCTGCCTTCTGATTGAGTTTCCAGACAGACTGAAGGTGGTGTAATAAAGGCTCATAAACTGCTTAAGCTTCGTGTTCCGTGTTGCCTGTATATGCTGCTGTGACATTCCTAATGGCTTTTCCAAACATCATTAATCCCTCGTATAAGACCTCTTCATGTATTAGAAAGCAGGAGTCGTCCTAGTTCCATGTTAACTCAGAATCATTTACAAGGATAATGACATGCTTGTGAAAAAGCATACTGTACTTGTGGCTCAGAATTATACAGAATATGCATAGATGAGGAAAAAGGTTTGAGATAGAAAGGCTTTGAATGAACTATCTGAAAAGGAAATTGACCCTGCCTCCTCCCAGAATTGTTCTACTGTTGTGCTTTGGGTTTTTTCATTTTTTTGTTTGTTGAGGTGTTTTTTCCCCTCAATGAATTGAATAGCAGCAGAAAGCTAGGCCACCTACTCTTGTGTATTTGGTTCTTGAACAACCCTGCTACAGAACTTTTTAAATGCCTTCTACTGCTACAACTTTCTTTCATATGTATCAATTTTGACATAAGGACTGTGTGTAAAATGTGCTTGTGTCAGAAATCTGAGCAGTTTTTTATGCCATGTATGGTTCTGTTGCAGTAGAAATTAAAAATATCTAACAATCTTCCTTTTTCAACTGTAGAACTGTATGAGAAAACATATGATGGTGAAAAAGTAATCTACTGGGAAGTGAAATACCCTTTTCCTCTTTCAAACAGAGATGTATCCTTTCAAGTTTTTGTTGTCCTTTGCAGTTTTTGTCCCCTGCTCACCCAGGGATCCCAGCAATGTACTGATTCTACTGCTCTGCTCAACTTGATCTAAGATCTTGCACTCCTCATGTTACATGAATATGTATAGCATGAAGAAGAGTGTGGGTGCCTCTTCCCACACACAAGAGAAGCTCACATTGCTGAATTCTTACTCTGCAGGACTGAATCCTGTAGAAGCATAAGAAATATCTTGAAGGGGCTGGTATTTGTAATGGAATTTACTTGTCAATTCATCCTATGTCAAACTAACACTGTTTTGACGTGCCTCCTCAACTTGGAATACAGTACGTCTACATTCGTGAGTGCCGAGAGATGGATGTTGATGGGCGGAAGATCTGGGTGGTGTTAGCTCAAAGTGTGTCTGTTCCTCAGTGCCCTGAAAAGCCTGGCATTATCAGAGTTAAAAGCTATAAACAAAGTCTGGCAATTGAAAGTGATGGCAAGACTGGATCTAAAGGTAAGAGGTCAAGAAACTGCGATCACAAGTCATGTAGCCAAGGAGTGTATGTATTAGTGAAACGTGTAAAGAGGGAGACTGGAAATTTTAAGCTAAATCAGTTGCTATAAAGTGAATGTACTGAGTGCGAGGAATATTTTAAATTGAATGGAACTTTGGGAAATGTTCAGTGCAGCGTGCTAGTTAAGAATTTTTTATTTAATAGTTGAGCTGGGTGGTCAAGGATAAACTACTGACTGCTTAATTTTGCCCCTGCTTCCCACCGTCCCACCCCAAGCCTGTGCTTCTTCTCCTGCCAGCCAGTTTGGCTGGGTAGACTCTGATGGTAGCTGCAGTGTGGTTAACTCAGCAATGATATAAATATCATGTTTGACAGATTTATAGATTAAAAGGTTTGCCTAGAGATTGACTCCTGTCTGAGATTAGTCCTTTAAAGACAACTTTATTTTATGACAGGCTGCCTAAAATGGTTTGCAATAGTCTGAATTAATATTATGGCGTGCTGAGCTTCCCATAGGTTAACTGGGAATGGCTGTACTTACTTCAGGTTCCACTTCAGTACAAGTTTACTTTTTTGTTGTGAAGAATTCAGAACAGAACTGTAGTAGCTGGTGATTCAGTCATGCACAATGACAGCTGCTGTCACAAAGTGTTATAGCTAATACTCAGACTGTGGTTGGATAACTTTCTGGTAACTTCTCTCTCATCTCTAGTCTATATGTACTACTTTGATAATCCTGGTGGCATGATTCCGTCATGGCTGGTGAACTGGGCTGCCAAGGTAAGTGAAGGTTGACAGCACAATTGTCTTTGGCTAATCTGTTTCAAACCATGTACTCACTACATTGATACCTGTCTTCTGCATGTTAGGTGGAATTATTTTTGTTCTGAAATGGATGTATTGACATTTCTTGCTTTTACACAGTCCCATTTTTAGAGTCTTGCTATTGTGTGCTCTCCTGGCAGTTGCCTAAATTATTTTTTTTTTCATTCCTATCAAATTCCTTTGGTTAGTCAACCAGACAGGTAAATTTGTGCAACAAAACCAACAAATCTGTGTTCCAGAGCAGATGTGAATAGCCTTAACACAACCAAACTTCAGTAATGCAGTCTATTCATGAAGAATTAAATGAATGGTCTGCTGCTCTGTGCAAGATCTTAGAATTGTCCTGTATCTGTTTGAAGGTCTTGATCTATATAGTGGCAATTCTCATCTTGCTTACAGTTTTTCTTGATTACATTATGCAAGAATGACTTTTCCACTTTTCTCTTTACAGAGTGGTGTGCCTACTTTCTTGAAGGATATGCAAAAAGCTTGCCGTAATTATTCTAAGAGCACATAGGTCAAAGTTGATCTGAATTGTTTAATCCCTAGGGCTCTGCACTTACAGGAGTGGCTATTACCTATTACACTGGATAAAATCTACCTCTGATATTGGAAAGAATTTTATTTTAGTCAGTTTATGCCTTGAATTTTATTAGATCTTTGTTTCCGTCTCCAACTGAAGAACTGGCCACTGACAAGGTGGCATCAGCTGCATCCTTTGGAAAGTATTTAGCCTTGTCCCCTATGCCTTGCTTATGCTGTTTATTGAAATATTACATCCTTGGACCAGAGACAACGATCTTGCTAGGAAAAATGTTTGAAATTGGACTGAAAATTCTCTACACATGTTATGCCTGGATCTGCCTTTGTGGCCTTGCAGGGTGGCTTCCTACTTGAATTTGGATAATGGATTGAATTGAATAATGGAGCTTGCATTACTTAGGAGGAAACACTTTTGCTACCCAAGTTTATCACTCTTAAACTGTCTGCCTGCTATAAACCTAAAAAATGCCAAGGGCATATAGGTAAATTACTAGAAGTCTGCAGTAGAAACTGGAACTCTGTGTTACTAAGATTCCTTGATGACTTTAAGTCCAGATATAAAACAACTTGTGCCTAAAGCCTTGCATTCACATCAATACCCCTGTATGAAAAGTAAAAACCCTTAGCTGTGTCCAGATGGAAAAAAGTTGGAGTTGGCTTGCATGTGTGATTTAAGGGGAACAAGTTATATCTTCAGAGTCAGTAGCCTTATGTATAAAGCAGCTTGGATACCAGCTTCAGATTGGAAGTAATTTTTAACTGGATGCCTGCAACTGAATGTGAATGAACTTTATATGAAACTTGGGCTTGCTTGTATTTTAAAATTTCGTGCTGATGTAAAGAATGAAACTGTAATTTTGGATGGTAATCCACTAAAAGCACAGCTGAGCAGGAAATTAAATTTCCAGCATGTTTGCGGGGAGTAGGGTGGGGGGTAGGAGGATAAAAAGGTGGGAGGGCCTCAGTCTCAGGGATTTAAAATATTCTGCATCATTGCTAAATCTAATCCTGTTACTGAAGAAATCTTGTAATGGGGTAGCTTTGTCTTGTTAAAAAATAAAGTGATTGCCTTTATACTTCATGTACATATTTGTTTCCAATAAATCACTATTCTCTCCATACAGTGTTCTTGCTCTGTCTCCCATCCTTAAGAGTGGCTGTGCTGGGCAGGTCACAAATGACAGGCTGATAGCACAGGCTGTTTTATTTTTAAAGGCTTTTGAGAGAATAACTTGGATGCCTGAGAACTAAGTGGGATTCCATGTGTTCTGAAGAGCTTGGTGCCAGTAGTTTAGACATTTTTCAAGTGTCTTTGTCTTGGAGACCATTACTGAATTGAGTATTACAGTGCTAGACAACTTTCAATCAATTTTAAATTCAGCTGTCATTTTTTTTTTTTTTCCAGCAGATAAAGAACAGGCATGGAGAGAGAATAGCATAATTCTCTTTAACTTTCCATAAATTTTGTACACATGCACTTACTGTACCTAGAGCCAATTTTTTATTTATGTGTACTGAAAATTAATTATCTCCATCATACCGAGAATATGATGCTGTTGTACTTCAGTATATTAATTAATTCTAAAATTTCTTCTTTTTTTGGCAGTGTTAAAAAAAATTACCTTGAAAATTCAGAAAGCATTTTAGCAGTTTACTAAGTATGTAGTACAATGTCATAAGCAATCACAAGAATACCTGCATTGCTTTTGAACAACAGGATGTGGATACAAGTTATGTCCTGAATCAAAGCAGCAAAGGAGGGTCTGGGTAGATTGTTCAAAAAGAAGATAGAAAGGCAAAACAAACTATTCTAGACTTGATATAACAGAACTTAAAAAGGAGGCTAGCTGAGGATGAATATTCCTAGAACAATAATGGAAACTATTTGATTTCTGATTCCTCCTGAACAAAACTGAACTCTGTACCACAGTAGTACAAAACTGGTCTGTAGTTATAAACCTACCTTAAAACTTAAGAGTTTCAAGGTTTATGAGAAATGTGTACCTAGTGAGCTGAGTGTCTGCACAGTGATGCAACCTCCAGCCAATCTGTAATTTTGTTTAGTCTTTAATGAAATGGAAGCAGGAGAAAGAGTGAAAGCATTTTATATTCATAAGTTCATGATTGCGTCTTTGTCATTATAGTTATTTGTCATCAAGACAAATGTATTTGCAGTGGGCTGAAGAGCGTTCAAGAGGCTGAATGGCTCCATTGTCAATCTTGCTGAAAACTTGTTTTCCTACAGACCCCACACTGAGAGTACAGAATGCACAGCCTTTGCTCACATCTCCTTATTAAAACTATTGCACAGGCAGTTTCTTGTGCTGTACACAACTTTCTAAATAAACCCACATTTGATGAAACAGTAGCTCCGGTAAACAGCTTTTCCTCTATTTATGAGCAATTAAGCAATGATGTGAGACGAATACAACATCAGATCCTCTGTTAAATTTAGGTCTCCATGGGCTTTCATAGTGACATAAATATGCAGTGTCACTTCAGTTATTTATGTGTTACTCCACCTATCTTGTATTACTAGGGAAGAAAAAGCAGTTCCAGCTTTGTGTGATGTGGCTTCTTGTCTAAATGGGAGATTACAACCAGAAACGAAGTGTTGTATCCTTCAGTCTTTGGATGACTTTTCATAAAGCATTTTAGAGCTTTATTCATGACCGGTTAAATGTATACACACATTGTGCGAACTTTTTTGGAAAGCTTGAACAGAAATTTACCTGCTGTGAAAGTTGTAAATCATTATGCATTATGAGTTCTGGCGCACAGGGTTAAAATAATGCCCCCCCCCCCCCTTCTCCTCGTGCTTAATTGCG